TGGCAGGATAAACAACCCTTAGGCCACCAGGAAATGTCCCAGTGCTCCCGATAGGCTGTCCACCACTGCACGACCACACTGCTAGATGGCAATATCGCTAGATCTAATAGCAAGAATGTCAAGTATCAGCAAAGTACCCAACCAAACGCTTTGTGGAATAGCACTTTAAAGAGAAACACGAGATTTGGGGAGTTGTCAGCAGAGACTATGAAGTTTAAATAATCCTATTAGTGATAATAGTTGGTAATATCACTATTGTTATGAGTCTTTGTCCAAATATCTGTTTTTCAGCCAGTAGGGCTCAACAGCTGCTCAACAGGATGAAGAAAGCTGCATAGAAAATTCATGCTGGACGTGTTTGGGAGATTTGTAAAATTTCTATTTTAACTCCTGTCGTCTGCATTAAAGATGAATGCAACTGCCACCAGAAAGTCTTTTTCAATTATTAAAGTCAGTGTTTTATTTTTGATGAGGACTGATATGTCCACTACACGTGTGTATTAGTAAAGACAAGAAACCTGCTTCCTCGATGAGATATCTGAAGAGGGAAAGGGGCATAGTGAGTGTCTGACTCAGCTTTCACTGCCATGTACTTGTCTCAGTTCATTGTTAGTGCTATTCTGCTGGTCCAACACCAGTTCTAACCAGCTGATCATTGGAAATGTGATGGTGAGACATTAGCTGAGGGGTAAGCGTTAGTTCTAAACAGTCACTGTGAGTCACCTTTAAATTTTTGAGACAAACAACCAGCATATTTGGTGAAAATCGGTCAAGATCTTGTTGGTTTATACAGTAGCTATATGAGCTACTGCAGTTTTAGCTGTGAAGGCAGATTTAATTTTAAATTGTATCTTTTTAGTCTGTGTAATTTTGTTCCCGTAAAAACCATAATCTCATTAATTGACTGAGTTGACAAAATGGAATGAACATCTCTTCAGGCACAGATAATGGCCTTTCACTTCAAAATTGACCAAATTCACAGTCCAGTCAGGGACTGAAACAGAATGTATGTGTGAGAGAGAGAGGAGGGAGATAGATAGAGAGGTGGTGACAGTTGAGGAGGGGAGAAAATATAATTGGTTTGCAGGATATGGTCTGTTCCTTTCTCTGACTCTTCATGCCTCATCTCTTCAATATTCTTAGGGGCCCTCACTTCTGTCTTTCTCAGATGGAATGAGTTTGTGAAGTAACTGCTCTCCATAGCAGCTTCAGACAGCAGAGAATGGAATAAGGATCTTCCCCCCTTTCGCTGAATGTGAACTTGTGTTGCAGACTGTGCAGGACCAGCGTGTGTGCAGAGCCTCCCTGGCCTGCTAATGAGGAGTATCTTTCTAGCCAGAGGCTGTCTGGACTCTGGATAATGTATTGTAGTTTAAGGTCACTGGCCAAGCCCAAGGCTGTATAAACTTCTCAAAACAAGTATCCGGAACCTAAACTGTAGCTCTTTGGTGTGTGCACAAACATTTAGTTACACTCATCGATCAGTTTTAATGAGAATAAATAAATCACCAGTTCATAGTCAGAAACAGCACAAAGTTTTACCACGTTTGATCATTTGTCTTCAGAAAACATAAATTTAGCAGTGTAGCCACTTCTGACCAAGAACATGGATTTTCAATATGGCTGCCAGAAAATTCAGCCATGTGCAGAAAGGTCTTACTGTAGATCTAATTTCTGGGGCCCAATAGTTCTGTAATGAAAAGGCAAGAGGGAGCTGAAGCAGCAAAGTGTATCACTTACTTTGTGGCATATAAAGGTTCTACTGTAACTTCTTCTTGCTAGAATGAATAGATAAATGAATTTGTCTCTGGCCTTTTATAAAGATATTTGTAACACACATTAACAGTTTAACATTAGCGAGGCGTGAAATATAATTTAGTCAGACTTGATGCAAAATATACCATTCTTAATCTTACTGTAGATTAATGAGTGTGGTGATACTGTTTGTTACCTTCTCAGCAGAAAACAGTTTTTAAAGGAGAGTAAATATTAAAGCTCCTAAATGTCGCATTTCATGATTTTCATTACAAACAGTAGAGACACAAGAAGTTTGTGTTTCCTGTTTTACTCTGAAGAATATGTACATAAATGGCGAACTGCGATCTGTGGTATGGTTTTATAGCCATGAACTAACAGTAATGTTTAGCTAGCGTTTGGATGCCACATATACCCACGTACTTACAAACTATTCTGACTCAGCCATGATCCCTAGCTAGATCAGATCACGCTAGGAGGCAAGCGTGCTCATATT